CCCTCTCTCTCTCTCTCCCTTCCTCATTTTTCTTGTTTCTTCGCTTTCTTTTTGCAGCCGGATCTGGCCATTCTTTTTTATCTTCCCGCACTAAAAATAAGGAAAAGTCAAACCGGGAAGTTTAATTCCGGACGGAGGGAGTACCTAGGACAATGATACAGACATACAGTAGAAGTAATAAAAGTTCAAAAAAGAAACCTTAGAAATAGCAATTCATATGTCGGGGAAAATCACTGTTTAAGTTGGATAATTAACAAACCACAGAATCATCAGAACAATAAAACAGAGCCTAGCCGAAAATCATAAGAAGAACTGAAAATCCAAAGCAAAGAGAACTCTGCTACACCATAAATAGTACTTCGTATATTATTATTAATAGTACACTACACCATGGTTGTGGGGGAACCTACCACCAAACAGGGAGGAGCTACTGCAACTACACTACTGATACAACAATCCGAAGCCGGGCGATCAGGGCATTCCTGAAATTTTGTCCCGACATCTGCCAAGCAAAAAAGAAACACTGTTGGCAACTTCATATATACATAAACTTCCAATGGTGACAGATGCAGAGATACAGTAGAACAAATTCAGTAGAGAACGCAGCATTTTGAGGAGCCGTGATTTTTTTGTCCAAAAGTATTTATTTTGGACAAAAAGCGTTACATATTACGAAATAATATATGAAAGGATTATAAAGGGCTCTCTGCAACCAATTATCAAGGAACACAAAGCCCCATGGACAGATGATGACTACAGATAGTAGTGGCATGACATATTACAACAATAATATATGAAAGAATTAGAGAAACAATTTGTTATATGAAGATAAACATATGGTGATGAACACACACACACACAAGAGGGAAAAAAACTGATTGCAACCATTTAAATTGGGAAACTGATTAAAGTCAATTGAAATTAAACAGATGATAATAAAGAAGAAAATCAGAAATTTGCACAAAACTGATCAATTGTTGGAAACACCTAGATGCTAACAATATTTTTAATGAAATAGTGAGCATAGCATGTCAGTAAGCATAGGTAGACACCAGGGTATTCATGATAGTTTCTCCATACAACAACACCAACAACAAAGTAAACCATTATAGTATCATACAATCAAAATTAGGGAAGAAACATAAATTCAATTGCTAATAGTACAATACCTTTGGACTTACGGAGTAAAATTTTAAGCTTTTTTCTATAACTATCATATATATATATATATATATATATATATATAGACACACGTACGTACATACATATACTTCATCGGTCCCATAAAAATCTTCTATGTTTGACTTTCACAAAGTATAAAGACAATATTGAAATGTGAAAAAAGTATGGTTTAAATTTGTCTAAAAGAGAAATTTTCTGAGCCAGATAATTTTTCTTAAAAGGAAAGTGAACTTTTTTGGGGTGGGCAAAGGACAGTATAAATTCATTGATACCTCCAAGGTGACTCCTCTTGGATTCCACTTTCCCGTGTTGTGTTGAAGGCAAACTACGCGGATAGGCTCTGGGGAAGACATGGTTGAAATCATTTCAAGATCCTCGACAACTTTTCTGTTTGGACCAAGTCTGAATTAAAAAAAATAGTCCAAAGTTTGAAAAAAATGTAGATAAAATTTTGAATAAAACTGTGGGGAAAGCTGTGTGAAGTGGTCTTTTTTTTTTCAAATTTTGGGCTTGGAGTTTCTCCAAACATGTAAGTTGTAGAGGGTGTTGAGATGAATCCAACAATGTTCGTTGTAGGGGGTGTTGAGATGAATCCAACAATGTTCGTTGTAGAGGATGTTGAGATGAATCCAATGATATTTGTTCTAGAGGGCGTCAAGATGAATCCAACGATGTTCAACCTGGCACTTATCACCAAAGCCTAGACTCCGCACGGCTTTGGAAAGTGAGTCCAAGATGTGTCACCGAAAGGGAGTCAAATGAACCTTATTCACACACAGAGGAACACGCACACACACTTCATTGGAAACTCAAATTGATTATTCATTATGAATTAAACTCTTTTTTTAATAAACATATATCTCAAAGAATATTTTAATACCAAATGTATAATATAACTTGAATGAATCAATAGCAACGAATTTGTTTTCTGCTGGATTAGATAAAGCACCGAGAGGTCAACATAATTAAAAATGGAGGTTACTGACCTTTATGCAGAGGATACATATTAGATATGTCAAAATACATATTCCTGGCTGACAACTAGTAAAAATATCCTCTGCAGTTTAATGACCCACACAAGCACTTCTTCCTCATTTGCACTGCTTTATCCGACCAAACCATCCCATAATCAAAGGTTAACTCCTGCATCGGAGGTATATGCCTAGTGGCAAAAAAGGCAATATGGTAATAAGCTTCACTGTTACTCCCACGGACAACTGGTTGCCAAAACACATTTGGTGAACAGCTATGGTTCATGAAACGAGCCACATTCCCATTATTTTTTGCGCTAATGACAAGAGGAAATGGGATCTTTGCAGAGTTTCCGTTCTCAGCATGCAAATCTTCCAATGTTGGATAGTGCCTCGAGGCATCAAATATATAGTTATCATCCCTATAGCTTCCAATGTCATCGGCATCAATGACTTCTCCTGCATATTCACAGATGAAACAGCCTCCACGGATAGGATCCCATGACCTAAGTCCCCAACCTCTGTTCTTTGTTTTGAAAACTTCAAGCCGGACCTTAAGACCTGCTTGAGACATTCGGTTTCGGCAATTGGAAGGACATGGACAAGACGAACAACACTCAAGAATCATATTATTGTAGGTCATGAGAACCCCAAGTGCACTATAAGGCAGATAGCCTCTGTTCCTCTGGATACAAGGGCAGTTAGAATTGCCAGGCTGGCAGCCACCAATGCAATGACAGCTCAAAGAAGGACTGGGTGTTTCAAAGGATTTTGGGTTTTTAAGAGTTGAGATGTAAGTGAAATAAGCGGGTCCCTTCTCATTATCAACATCATTAACCAGAGAAACTGGTTGACTCTCAGCGCCCGAAGTTAGGTCCGGCAGGATGACCCCAGCCCTTGTACTAATACCATCTTTCCATTGCTGAATTAATTTCCACAAGACATAAGCCTCGGGCTGTCCGGGTATCCTAACCAATTTGTATTTAAAAACATTGCATCCAGAGGTATTTCTCTCTGCCCATGACTCCTGAATTTTGTATAAACCATCATAGAGATAAATCTTCCCTGTAGTCCACGGATCCTTCACGCCCCTAATAACTCTAACCTCATTGGCACGGTGAAGACTCTTCTCCAATGCAAGATTTCCCCTTTCGAGTTTCTGATCAAACATCTGTCCATCCCTTCTCTGCACTCCACCTTGGCCGGAATAAATTAGCACCTCCCCATCATCCCCTTCATCATCATACCCTCCAGATGATACTATGCTTAAAGAAATGGGCTCATCATCAGCGGACAGCTTGTAATTCATATAATCTATCCCAGCCATGGTAGGAGCATGTAACCCAACCACACATAACTCCATCCTGAAGAAGAAGATATCACCAACTTCAATCCCAGGCACATTACCAACCCTCTTTGTCTGATTCGTACGGATCCCTTTTGTCATCAGCATTGTTCCAGCCTTCAGGTCTGGGCGCCTGGCGGATCCTGGAGATGGATCACTCATCTCTTGAATTTGGGACATTTTTCTTCGGAACAAATCATAAGCCAACAATATGCGCCCTACAAGGTCCTTGTCACCGTCGGCTTTTTTGGATGATTCTACCTCGGTTAGTTTAAACGATTCAAGAAAGCTTTGTAAAATTGTTTCGTAATCCACCTCAACCGGAGGTTTCCCCTGATGGCCCCGCATCTTTGTCTTTTTCCGCGGTCTACCCTTTCTCTTCTTAGTGCTGGAGTCTTCAACGCTGTTATCATGAACGCCATAGCCATACTGATCACTTTGGTCACTATACTCATCATCTTCTGCAACAATTCCACTGGACCTCCTTGGTCTCCCAGAATCTCCATTTGACATTGGAGTTCTGAACGAGTTTAATGGAACAGGGGATATAGGCTGAGTGTAACCAGATGGAGGCTGTTCAGTTCGTCTGCTTGAATCATTGGGAGCCAGAAATGGGTAAAAAGGGGCAACTCCAGGAGGGAAAGGACCAACTGGAGGAACACATGTGAAGGGTGAGGGTTGGGGAGTGGCTGCAGATGACATCCCGTTTGCTGATGGAAAGACTGGAATTAAGCTCCTCATGGGCTTAATATCCAAGATCTTTGACTTATCAATCGGATCATCTTGGGGAACTGAGTTTGAAGTTGTACCTTGCTCCATCACGACAATCTTAGCAACCAGACAGTAAAGTAACAAAATTTGCTCAAAACAGCCCCCCGCAGCGCAAAGTTTCACCTTTTCTGGACTCTTAATTATAGGAAGAGAAAAATGTATTTCCTTCTTTCCCTGCGCAGCAAAAGACCAGATGTGGCCAAATCTTCATGAACTGAAACCCTAATAAATACCGATACACATCTCTCCCTGCATAACCAAACCAGCTGAACAATCAACATAAGCGCAAAGCCGGAAACTAAAATCTCTCGAAATCAAGACAAAATACCCTAATTGAGCTAAATACGGGACCTAAAAACAACACTTTACACGGAATTTGAAAAAAAATCAAACCAGCAGAGATTCACAATAAATGAAAGGGGACAAAAAAATTAAATCTAAGTGCATTAAAACTCAAGGCGAAATTCAGAACGAATTAAACAGACATGCAAAGACATAAAGTGAGCGCTCGCAGAAATCTAGATTGAAGCAGCTGAAGACAAGCGAGAGCAACTGGGCGAGACGACTTGGGTTCTGGAAGCGAAAATGACATGGAAAAGGGAATCGGAGACGGATCAGAGATTGGAGCAGAGTGAAGAAATGAGAAATTAGGGTAAAAATACCTCAGAAATTGAGAGGCACGGAGCGAGCGGAGCGGGGCGGAGGAGAAAGAGGAGTTGTGATGAATTCGACGGACCGAGGTGTGGATCAACGCTGAGGAAAAATGGGTCTTACCACGCTGTGGGGGGGGGCCACATATAGCCCGACGCCCCGACCCAACTTGATTGAACTTGGGAGTCAACGGAAGTACAGTAGAAAAAAAAGGATAGCTAGATCCGTCATCACCGGCCGAAGAGTAACGGGGAATATATTGAATATTTGAATTACAAGATGGGCCAAATAGCTCCGGTGTTCCCTGTGGTTTGGAAAATTGGCACTAATAACCCCTCTATTTTTAAAACTTATTTCTAAAATCCCCGTGGTTTCAAAATGCTGCACTCGTGCCCCCTCTGATCATTTTCCGGCTATTTTCCGGCAAAGAGGGGGTATTTGCGCATAATTTTTAAACCATAGGGGGTATTCGTGCTCATTTTTTATTTTTCGTTTATTATTTGTGTTTTTCTTTTTTTAAAATATTTTCTATCTCTTTTTTCTTTTCCTATATCTTTTTCTAATTTATTTTCAATTTTTTATAATGTTTTAAATTTCTAAATTTTTTTGTGTTTGAAATAAAAATAAAAATAAAAAAATTAACATACATTGCATCTATTTAAAATTAAACATTTTCACTTTTTTTTACGTACTTATTTGGAAAGTTCAAAAAGAAAAACCTAGAATAAAAAAATAAAAATATGGAAAAATAAAATGAAAAATAAAAATACACAAAAAAGTCTGATACAAAAAAATGGACAAGCCTAAAAAAGTCCTTAGAATTGAGATGTTCGAAAAAAATATTCATTTTTATTTTTCTATTATTTTGTTTCTTATTGTATTCGTCATTTTTTTGAAATTCTCAAAAAAAGTTTACTTTTTTCAGAAAAAACAAAAATTGTTGATTTGAGAAGTACATATACATTATATGTTAATTTTTTTAAACAAAAATAACTTTAAATTTTATGAGCATTATAAAAATAATTTTAAAAAAACCTTTATTAATAAAAGAAACAAATAAAGGAAAAAAACAAAAAAATTAGCGAGAAATAAATATCAGCACCGATACCCCCTGTGGTTTAGTAAATATGCAGCAATGCCCCCCTTCTTCGCCGGAAAAATGGCCGGAAAATGATCAGAGGGGGCACGGGTGCAGCATTTTGAAACCACAAGGACTTTAGAAATAAGTTTTAAAAACAGAGGGGGTTTTGGTGCCTATTTTGCAAACCACGGAGGGTATTGGCGCTATTTGGCCTTACAAGATGATAATGGTAAGACAAAAATGAAATGACACACAGTGACATTGATTATTTCAATCGAGCAATGTTCACAAACAAAATACTCACAAACTTTACAAACTTACTATTTATGGTTTAAAATTTTATTTTGAAATCACTTTAGGCTATTTAATTTTTTCCATTGAAGTTCACAAATACTCCCTCCGTCCTATATCTTTTTTCCCATTGCGCAAAACGAAGAAAAATCCCAAGTTTTTTCAATCTATTTTATTTAAATATTGGTATAGAAATAAAAAATAAAACATACATATTTAAAAACTACATCAAAAGTTCAACAAAACAAGTGGTGACAAGAATATTTTATTTTATCATATAGGCCATGAGAAAACACAAATAAATATAAATTCCCGTGAAGTTGGAATAGTGCTCCGGGAAGAAAGTTTTAGGACGGAGGGAGTAGAAAGTTTGTGATGTTTGTGATCATTGTGTTTGTAAACCAAGCATTTCCCATTTCAACCAATAAAAGTAACTCAGTCACTGTGGTAAATGTGTGGAGTGTCGTAACATACAGTGGCAAGTCGTTGTTTTTATCTATTTTTCTACTTTTTAATGATTTTTAATTATAAAAAATTGTTTTAAAAATTTATTTTATTATTAAAATATGTTTACTTCTTTTAAAAAATATTTTTCTCAAAAATTACAAATATTAAAAATATTAAAAAAATAAAAAATGGGAGAGTCATGCCTTGCACATGGAATGAAAAGTGGGATGGAAGGGCCGTGGAATGCCATGATTTGAGTGGAATTTGCTGACATGGCACGGCAAGACAAGACATTGCCATTGCGAATGCTCTAATCACTCTAATGTGTATGCTACTTGACATTTCATGTTTTGCATAGTTGCATCTCATTGAAATCACCAAACATTAAGGTCGAGATTTCTCTTTTGTAGCATCTTTATACCAATCGTTGAATTACGCCCCACCAACGTAACTATTGGTCTATTTGGGAATAGTATTTACGATTAGCATTAGCGTTTTGGATAAAATTTTAACAATACAGATTAACTTTGAAATATTAACCTTAAACACAATCCGTAGATAGCATTTTCAAAACGATGAGGCTAACCATTATCTAGAAAATAGTTATATGTGCGTTTTTTGTCAAAATTAAGTGATGGATAAAAATAGACCCGATATTTTTTAAATAGTGTTTACATTGAATTGGAAAAGAAAATTGAAGTTTTCAAATGATTATAGCGGTTTTTTTCTCAAATCAGTTTGTTTCGTTGACAAAATTGTAGAGGCAAATTCTCATAAAAGAAAGTTTTCTAAAATAGAAGTAAAATATACAGAATAATCTTTATTTCTAAAACATAGTGGTATTTTATCAAGACTATTGTATTGTAATAATATGTCACTATATATTGATATTACTATTTTTTGCCATTATATATTGACATTATGGACATTATAAATCCTATCTTAAGAATAAAATATTAATATTCTACCCCATAGTATTTTAGTTTTTTCCGTATGTTCTACTCAGATTTTATTATTTTAATCATTTTCTCTTCTATAAAATTAAACCTGAAAAAGTAAAAAAAAACTCTATGAAAAAGTAAAAAAAACTCTATAAAATTAAAAACTCTATTTAATCATTTTATTCATGTTCTTATGGTACATATTTGTATACTACTTTGGTAGTTAATTTTACTTTATATGTATTTGGTTATATAGATAAATCGAAGAAGAAGAGACGGGAAGAGAAGAAATGGATGAAGAAGGAATTGAAGAGGAATTCTATGAAACTATCAAGTGATGGTCAAGTTCGATTACTATTGTTTTTAATTGTATGGGCTACAAATTTGTTTCCAAATTATTATTTTTTACAAGTTTATTATGTTTTTATGATTGCATTGTTGCTATTGATGGCACTCATATTACTACATTGGTAAAAGGTTGTCAAGTAAGTAGCTATCGTAATCGTCATGGTATTCAGTCCCAAAATGTTTTGGTAGCTTGCAACTTTGATTTGGAATTCATATATGTGCTCAGTGGGTGGGAAGGATCAGCACATGACTCAAAAATGCTAATTGATGCCCCTATAAGAAATGGTCTTGAAGTGCCTCAAGGTAAGTAAATTTATTTTATTGTAAAATTATTTCTCTTTTTATGAAAATATTTGTTATGGGTATATGGCATCTTATTCCTATTTTAGGAAAATATTATCTAGTTGACTACAAATTTGCTAATCAACGGCAATTTTTGGCACCATTGTGAAGTGTTCGATATCATCTCAAAGATTTTGGGTCAAGATCGTCACCCCTTAAATGCAAATGAGTTGTTCAATCTTCGTCATGCATCATTGTTAACTGTGATTGAGAAAATATTTGGTATCTTTAAATCAGAGTTCACCCTTTTCAAAATTGCACCTCCCTTTCCATTTGAAACACAAGCACATCTAGTGTTAGCTTGTGCAGAACTACATAACTTTCTTTGTAAAGAGTGTTATTCTAATGAGTTTCCTCCTAAACCAGAACATGTGTCATCTTTTTCATCGTATCTTGACATGGTAGAAGAAAATTCTGAAATACGTTTTCGAACTCAACAACAACAAAGAACAGAAACTAATGTTTGGATATATATATATATAGGGGCGGTTCAGGTGAGAATGCACCTTGGTGAAAGAAATAAGAATGAAATCTAGCCTTTGGATCTAATGCATCGTGCGGCTCAGATTGCATCCTACACTCAGATTTTGAGATAGTGCATTTTTAAAGGATTTTGTTGCATTTCGACATGATGCATTTTCAAATCATTTTGGTGCACCTAATTTTGATGCAATCCTCACCTTTAGATCTCATAATCTAAAGTACTAGATTCATTCTTATTTCTTTCATAAGATCGCATTCTCATTTGAATCAAAATCTATATATATATATATATATATATATATATATATATATATATATATATATATATATATATATATATATATATATATATATATATATATATATATATATATATATGGCATTCCTAAAGCTATGTGAGTCGATAGACCACAAAATGATGCTTTTGAGAAGGATGAAGAAGATTTTGGTGATAATGAGTTGAAATGGAATATTATGTTGTTTAATAATTTTATTTTTCAATTTTCCTTAAATTTTGGGTAATATTTTCTTTTGTGTTGTCTTTAGATTTTCATTAATAGATTTTGACATACAAGAAGAATAATTGAGAGATGATAACGATTTTAGTTGTAAAACAAGTTAATTGCATATGACAATGAGCACTATATAGAGTATTATTTTTTTAATAAATATATTAAGATAATAATAATTTTTTAAAAAAATAATTTATTTTTACTTTATTCTATTATTTTTAATTTTTTAATCAATTTCATAAACATTTGTTTTTTATAGCTCATTATAATAGTTGGTGTTAGAATAATGTATAAATTTATAAAATAATTCATATTTTATGCGTAAATAACCTATGGATTATAAATAATTAGACAAAATCTTATAAATTATTACTGATAAAATACATTAAAATTTACAAAACTCTGTACAGACTTAAAACAATTCATTAATTTTACATAATCTATAAATTTTAAACAATCTATTAAAATCTTCCAGAATCGTGATTGATTACAGTATGCTATCAAAATACTCCTTTAAAATTAAATATTTTTTCAAATTGATAATTTCCAAGTAAATATTTTTCCAAAATGAAGTCCATGTGCCTACTCAGAGTGCATCTATTCCTCTAGTAGGTGCATACTTAATTTGAAAGAATCATTTTTATGACTTAATCATAGTTTAAATTATGAAATATACAAAAACATTCTCTATTTAACTACTCCCTCCATCCCCCTAAGATGTTCTCATTTTGACTTTTGGTGATTTTTAATGAGAGTTGAAAAAAGGTGAAAGTTTACAATAATACCCTTAATGAAAAATGGGTGGAGTGTATTAAATGAGGTGGGTGAGGTGTAATAAATAAAATAAGTGGGGGTAATTGTGGTATTTTAATTGTTAAAAAATAAAATAAAAAGATCTATTGTGGACAAAGAAAAAGGGCTATTGGGAAGATCTATGGGGGACGGAGGGAGTATCATTTAATAGACATTTTTAACAAAAACTATTAAGGCAATACATCTCAATTATAAAAAATCATATTTGTAATTATTACTTATTGAAGACTAATTTAAGAAAAGAATATTTAGAAAAGACCGTTTTGAAAATTTCTAACAAGTGGCTTTTTTGCAAAAAAAAATAGTTTAATACTCCCTCTGTCCACCATAGATCTTCCCAGACACTATTCACAGGGTCAAACTTTACTCACTTTGTTTGCTCAATTTTACTAGTCATTTCATAAAATAATATAGTCTTGTCACCTCTATTTTTGTAGAACTTTTTATGTAGTTTATTACTATATAAATTTTATTTTAAAATTTTACTCCTATAATCAATTAAATTGAATTGAAAATAAAGTCAGTCAAGTCTCGTAACGCGTAATGAAAAGATCATACATGGACGGAGGGAGTAGCATTTTAACTCTAGCGCTCATTATAAATACATTTTGTTTAAATTGATAAAACTAAAAAAAGGAAAAGATCAAAACAAATTCGTTGAGAAAAGAATGTTAGGGATATTTGGAACAATGTTGCATGATTTTAGACTTCTACCATTGATATTAAGGGGTCACTTTTCACATTATAAAATAAAAAAATCAAAGTGGCAGGTAATTGAGGAAGTAAGGTGGCAAGAACTCCAAGAAGAGCAAGATAATATCATAAAGAAAACACAATATATATCAGTACAAACTAGTCCTAGAACCCAATTTTGAGTTGGAATAGAATCTACATGCACACACTGACC